GGTAGCACCTCTTTCTGCATTTTGTTCCTGTTTCAGTCACGTTTGATTGTGCCCGGGATGAGCTGCTTCGCAAACTATTACGATCCTGATAGGCTGAAACCTCTTCACAACATCGTCAACAAGGTGGTGCGTTCAGTTTTATAGCTACTTCAAGACTTTTTTCAGTTTGAAAGTAATTTAGGCTTCGAAGTCAGTGCGCCTGAACAGTGTAACCTTATCTCCTACTAAGCAAAAAAGTAAGTTTTCTGCCTCTTACGTGATTCTATTTCTTGCTGAGTTTGCTATGAATCTAACGCGGCGTTAAGTGGAATTTAGTGAAAGCTACAGTTGTGGCACCAATCCAGGAGGTCATGCAAGATTCAAATCGTTTTGGGATTTGTAATATATGTTTACTCATGTATGCAGTAGCTAACCGCTGATACAATAGTAAGTAGACTCAGCAGTGGCACATAAAACAAATGACTTCATCGCAGAGGTGGTCTAACCTAGGTTGTCCCATAATTCCTGTCCGATTTTTGATCAAATTCAAATTTCTTCAAGTCGAATTAGTGTCATTGCGAAATATGTTGGTATGTCAAAGAGTGCATCTAGACCGTTAGCCAGGACATTTTGGAAGGTCAAACCCGCATCGGAATAACTGAGTAGAAGTCGAAATAGATCAGTGACAATAACGAACGATTATGCTTTATGATCCTCAAATAGACGCTGTTGCAAGGAGGACACTAGAGAAGATCAGCGCTGTGTTTGGCTCAGTCTCTGCTACTGATCGGTCACTGAGCTGGAGGTTCGGTCGCAATGGCAAAGACAATACGAGCTGTGAAATCAGCCTCATCCTGGGCCTCCACTCACTTTCGATGAGGACCCCTTGCGCCACGGCTTGGAAGTGCACACGGACGCTACTACCAGGGTATTGTAGCAGACACCTGGGCGCAGCCGATGCACCAGCACACGCCATCAGGATGAAGTGGGCAGGCAGCAGAATGAAGACTTGATAGAAACCATATGCACCGACCAGCCATGACCGAGAAGCTGGTCTGACCCTCTGGGGGAATTTCATTCTGTGACCTCAATAGCAGAGCGTTCCCTAGTGGGGATGAGTCATGAGTTCACTACGACAACAACACGCAGCACGCCTGATGGCTACCTCGCAGCCAGAGGCTCACCAGCTCAACAAAAGCCCAAGTCAGGCTTCGTATGGTCAGGGAATATTGCTTTTGATTTGTTAGATTAAGTGGACCATTCGTTTTCCATTGGGTGTTATGTGAAAATAGTGCGAATGCCATCGTGGTGGGCACCTCCGGAGTTGGCGCAGGTGGTGAGAGAGGACGTTCAGACGCTTCAAAATTCTTTCGAATGACGCCGAACCTCACATGGCAAGTAACGCTAGTTATGAGGGAAATGGCTGAGGAACCATGATACAATGCCATATTATAGGCATGGCTACTCCGCAGGCTTATCCTTTCAGGTGCTTGAGAGCGCGGCTGAGAGAAAGTCACCAAATAAAATCACTCCAAGAACGACTTTGCTGAATTCTTCAGCACATAGCTTCACCCATTCTAGGGGCAGAGCACCCAAAGGTTCCCTGGTGAATAGATGCATACGGTGATTATGGTAATGGCTATATTTTTGATCATTTAGTTTCTCAGAAAGATAAAACAGATGAGAGGAAAGTGTCGGAATTCGGACAGAATATATTGGACAACCAATTGTCTCGGTCGTTAATAGCTATTCGGTTTATTTAAGACGCGGTAAACGTTGGAGCTCAGTTCTATCATTTTAATGACCACATCAACAAAAGATGATTGAGTTTAACGTGTTTTTTTTAGGTAACGAGGCTGAAGACATCCTCACAAAGAGTGGTGAGATTCATCTTTTCACAAAACATTTTGGCATTTCAAGATAATTGGCTCGATAACTTATAGAAACACAATTCAGGTACGAATGATTGGAAGGGAATAGGTGGAGAAAGTCTTGATTCAGCCCAAAGCGCGGCTTCTCGTACTCTACCAGGAAAAAAGGCTTTCCGTGCCCAAACGGAAGAAGAACGATCGCAAATTCTCGTCAAAGCTGACCTCAAGTCAGTTGATTCTCATTCAATTTTTCAGGGGCTATCGTCAGAGTGTTCGCTACTGTTATGCTTAGTGCCTTTTTCTCAGCACGAGTCTAATCTAAGCAGCTTTTTTTTTCTGTTCAGTGACTAGGAAATCAGACAGTGTCTTGATCAAATGACTCGAAAACATTTTCCAAGCCAACGGTATGAGAGGAAGTCCCATGAAGCACGTTGAATTTGGAATGTTTGGGCGAAAAACGAAAGTTATGTCGGTATTGGCATCATCTGAGAAATGATACCTCTTACCCGCTAAAAAATTAGGCATGCTTGAAAAATGTATTTAGGGACTTAGAATAAAGGCGGATGATACACTAAATTGAGTGTGTAAGAAGGGGAAATATGCCCACTTTGAGGGATGGCCTGGGCCCTGTCTACGATGAACGGGGCGCACACCGAAATGGGCGGTGCCGACCGCGAAAGTTTCTAATATGGATTACAAAACAGGCTAACCCGGTATATTGGGCGAAGGTGTGCATAGAGGTGTAGGTCAAAGTAGGGGACTCACCTCTTCCCATATACAAAACGATCTGCCCACCTGCGGTGCTTGGGCGGTGTTTGCTAAAATGTTCACAATTCAAATAGGAGAAAGCCTACAAAGAGAAAAGAAATGTTTCGAAGGAGAGTATTGATCGATGGTTCCAGCACTCAAAGTGAGCAGAGGCCTGGGGAACGCAGCATGCCCTTGAGTGGGCGACATTTCCCACAAACCCTTATAATTCGATTCACAAAACCCTTAGAGATGTGATTAAAAGGCGACAAAGGTTGGCAAAGAAGGAAGTAGCTGTTGCCGATGGGTGGGACGTACACCGAAGTAGGGGGAATTTGCCGCGGAGCATAATTCAGTTCCCAGACTGCTGGGAGGCCGGAAAACAAAGAAGTAGAAGTTTGTGGAGGGAGAAAGGTCATTTGTTATTGGCAGATGTGGCGCACATCGAAGTTGGCAGAGGTAAAATCCGGACTACACAAAGGGTTCAAAAATCGTAATCAGAGTCTTAGTTGCTCTATTCAATCGCTTTCTGGCGCACGCGTTAGTGTGTGGGGCCAAAATGAATGGAAGAAATAATCAAATTATGTATGACCAAGAAAAAGAAAACTTTCTGAGATTTTATTCTTTCACATAGTAATTGGGCCCAAATTTGGAAAATCCAAAAAACGCACCAAGCATTCCATATTAAATTGCAGCGTCATAAATTTCACTCTCACTTTTACTGGAGCATTTTCGTAGAAAAATCGCTGTTTATACTGCGACTCGGTACGGACATTTCGAAACCTGAAGTGGTTAACGTACTCCCCAAATTAAGTATTTTCGGAACGGGACGAACTTTTCAAGAATGAGAAGAAGAAAGTGAAACCCATCATATACCTTCATTTTAGAAATCGCCGTGGTGACATCTACCGATGTATGTCTGAATGGCCTACTTCTGTAGAAGCCTTAGAGCTGAACAAAGCGAGTGGAAAAATGTTGATTGTCCAGCCAGGTGATGCTGTGCTGGCTGTGCGAAAAGACCCATGCAACATGTGGTAAGTTATAAGGCTTTCTGCATAAGTGTTATCTATAGATGTTGTTGTACACTTCATTTTCGAGAAGCTTGTGATGGCTTATCTTCAGAGCTGTATTTGCTTTCGCAAAGCTTCTGGGACCAATCTACACAAGCCTTTTTTTCAGTCGATTCTGGTCGTTTAGCGTTACAAATATCTGCCGGCTACATTTGCTGAGTAACTGCATCTGGTTCAAGGCACGATCCGGGATCAGGCACGCTAAGGCTGGTGTCAGAGTCCGCGATCCGTCGCAGGTTTCGCTGATTTTCGCGATTTGCGCGATTTGCGCGAAACCTGCGACGGATCGCAAAAATTGCAAGTGCCCCATTTGAACATTTGAAACACTGAATATGAAACAAGTGGAATCATGAGCAGTCGTCATTCAGCCATCACTATCAAGCAGAAGTGGCGGCAGGATTGGAGAACACCTTGCAGTATTGATCGGGCACTTGTGATTTCCGTGACCCGTCGTCGCGCAAATCGCGAAATCGCGTGAATCGCGCAAATCGCGAAAATCAGCGAAACCTGCGACGGATCGCGGACTCTGACACCAGCCTAACCTGTTCCATCCTCGAGCATAGTAGACAGGCGGACAAGCGTTGATGTCGCGCCTTTTTGCGGCTTGAAAGTGCGCGACAAAGGCGCTAGAAGCTCGCTTGACCCGCAATCCACACCTTCGTCCGCAAGCCCCAGCCTTCGCTGTCTGCTGCCACACTAGTGCCGTGAAGAGCGAAACCACAGGTGCGGCAGTTGCAGCTGAATGTCAGTGGCAATGAAGCGATTGGGGCCAGCCGCTCGTGGACTTAGTCCGAACGCGCACCTTCTCTTTCCCAGGGTGGAATGCGACTAATAGAGAAAAGGTTCTTATTTGGGGCGTAATCGTGGGTTTCTCTTGCTTTCTTTTACAAACCACTATTTATCTCCAGCGTCCTTGCTGAACGTTCTTAAATGCCTATTTTATCCTGGGGCTCGCTTTTAAGTGGATAATAGTGAGTGTGCGTTTAATTCGATGGGTTCACTACTTCTTGGAAACGAATCGAATTGCTCCAAGTTTGGGGTATAAAAGGGTTTTAGGATCCCTACACATAAACATGTCTTGGCGGTACTCTGAAATAGCCGGACATGCTTACAACTCAACCTAATTCTTCGTTGACTGATTTGTTATCGGATCAGATACAATAGTCGTGAATGCCAGGGCACTGAGGCGAGCTTCACAGCTCAACAGTCCTTTCCTGCCTTTTCTTTTGCAACTTTTTCTCGTCTGGATAGAAGAAAGTTACCAGTGCATTATTATGTTTTTCAAGAAAAAGCTCTCG